GTGAGGATTAAATGAGTCAATATTCATAAATTTTGGAACAGCATCTGGCACATGGTAAGGGCTACTACATAAGCATTAGTTAAGCCTTAAATATATATATTTTAAAAGTCCTATATTTGGTTTTGTTCTCAGTAATGCCATTGACATCCTTCTAAACTGTTCCCATTTCTGTGCTCTGGGAAGTACAGCACCAAAAACGCACTTCACTCTAAAAGCAGAATGTGGCAAATAATGTTCTGGTTAATTGATGCTCTCCATGGTCTTGATTTTGTAAACAACATCTTTGCAAAGATTTCAAAGTCCTTTTCGATTTACTCACTGGCTTTAACGTAGGAGGTGTAACTATAAAGTAGGATGTCTGGGTTTTTAGAAAACACATCAGAGCTTAAAAATTCGAAGTGGTGACTGTGGTAGACTGTGCTTGCTCCCATCATTCAAGCATTGGAAACGCTCCTCTGGGGAATGTGGGCGTCGTGCTGGGCAAGGACACCAGGCTGACTGGCGTCAGTCTCGCTGTCTGCCTCTGCCTCTGTCACTCTGTTTCTCTCTGTCCCTCTTCTTTCCTCTTCTCTTCCTTCTCTCCCCCGCCTTCCTCTTCCTCCAGAACTTATTTAGAATTGCAAGGGACCTTAATTATTATCCAATACGACTTCGCAGGTGAGGTAACCAAGGTTGAACAAGATTTCCCTAAAGCCACCCACTACCAAAAAAAAACAATTCTGACTCATAGCAACTCTGTAAGACAGAGTGGAACAGCCTCACAGGGTTTCCAAGGAGGGTGGTGGATTCAAACTGTCAACCTTTTGGTTAGCGGCCGGGTTCTTAACCACTGTGACACCAGGGCTCCAAGCCACCCACTAAATGACTAGAAACCAGTCTTCCCATCACTTAAACCCATCCCAGAGAATGCCGCCAACCTTATTTACCAGTTTGGGCTCCAAACGACTTTGGCTTTTCTGAAAAAATTAAATTCATTTTTGAAAGATGAATGTCTACCCCTGTTGTGACTTTAAAAGGAATGGGCAACTGGCTATGAATACATTTGCTTGTATTAACAGATAGTATGTGACCAGTTTTATTCCTGGCATCCTAGCAGACTTGGGAGGCACCCGTTTTAAACTCACTTCACAGATTAGAAAATGTTGGTGAAGAATGTCCCCAGCCAACAGACAACACTTAGGCTTTGCCCTTCTATAAGGAAAGTCTCTGTCTTATCCAAGCATTTAGCAGTCAGTGGAACAGGGCTGAGAACTACGAATAGGCAAGCACACACACATGTACATGCACACGTACATACATGCATACATGAGACCCTTTTGGCGCAAAGTCAAGCCATTGTATGTAGACCATCACACGCTGGGGGCCTAGAAACCAATGGGCAACAGCACTGGGGAAATTAAACCAGGGCTCCTAGAGGAGGAGGTATCTCAGTGAGCAGGTGAGCCTTGAGGGGAGTCTGGTAGGTGGGGGAGCCACCCTGGCAGGCCTGGAGATGGCTGGCATCAGGAAGTCTGGTGGAGACAGCAGGGCCCAGGTAGGACCTGTGGATCCAAGTCAGCATTTATTCCCTGCAATAACTAGCAGGAGCAAGGTTAGACCCAGTCCCAGAAAACCTGTGTTGCCAAGAGGTTATAAAGGCAGGGGCTGGGTGGAGTGCAGAAAACTGACAACCCTGTGTCTGGTCTTGGAGCAAGGCAGAGACCCAGGTATGAGGAGCACCACCAGGTCAGAGGAGGACCAGCAGCACTACACACGTAATGCCGTCAGATGTCTCTGCTGGGCCTGTGGGCCAGTGGTCCTACCTGTGCTGAACAGGGCGGCAGGGACAAGAGCGAGGAAGGAAGTTAATGTCTGGGTTGTTGCTGAGAAAAATGTTCCATGCTGGAAGCTTCCCTAGCAAAGGGAGAAGCATTTACTATGTAGTTTCAGATTTGACAAGGTACTGGAGCCGAGAAACATGGATAAGACAGCCTTGCAGATAGATACATGCCCCAGATCGGGAATCCCCAGGGAGCTAGTGGCAAAGAAGCTAATTTTACATACTTTGCTGACTTTGGCGTAAAGGCACAGTGGACCTATACTGCATGTGCCTGCACTCTCTCAAAATAACTCTGAAATAATGTAAAATCTATCTCTGGTGCTCCCTGCCAATCCTTTCCAATTCTTTTCCTGCTTCTCTCTTCTTGTCTGTTCCCCAACCCCAATCTCAATGTCTAGGCCCAGATGTCATTATTGTTACTAAGATGTATGCTAACTGTTAAACTAATTGAAAATAAAAAAGTAACATTTTATTCTTTCTAGTTTTATTTGCTTATTGTGAGAGGATCAGAGGAATGGGAATTGTCTCAGCCAAAGGAATAAATATTTAACAGTAAAATTATATTCGCTGTGGTACTTTAATGGGGAGATGCTCTAAGGCAGAGTAAAGTTGCCCAGCATCCATTCCTCCTTTATAAAAGTGTGTCAAAATACCATTCTGGGTTATTTTCTCTCGCCCATTATGCAGCCCAAGGGACCACCAAACATTAGGGATGTCAGCTATGAACTATGCTCCCTCTCCCAGCTGCATATGGTAGGGCAGGCACAAGGCCCCAGTTCAGCCAGTTGGACAATGGTTCGCAGCTGTTCATCACAGAGGCAGCGGTGCGCTGACCCTGCAGATCCTGCCTTCTAGCTCTTCAGATGTCTTTTGGTTCCTGCCTTCACCTCTCCTGGTCCTACCATTTCCCATAGATTCTGTGAGCCACTTTCCCCCATATCCTTCCCGTAATTACTTTTTATGTTAACCAGAGTATTTGCTGTCTGCAAAGAACATGGATTACCAAGGGGATTCCAGGGCCACCTCCGCTCAAAGCGATGACTGGGGGAGACAGCTGGCTGGCTCACTGTTCTCTCCTCCATGCAGAGTCCAAAAGGGGTCCCAGCTGCATTCCAACAGTGCACGCCACAGTGATCACCACTGTGAGCATGTATGCAACCAGAAATAAAAGCCATTTGGTAGGACCCAGGATTGGAAGGCTGGAAAATGACATTCCATCAGCCAGTGGTGACATGATGGGACCATGTGCAGCTGCTGAAGGCCATGCTGACATTGGGAACATACCCTTGCCTTCCAGCCTCCCCTCCCTCCTCCCCGTATGCATACACTCATGCATGCAGATGGACACCTGCAAGTCTGCACATGCACACACACACACTCTTAGCCAACAAGCATCCTCCTGGTCCTCCCCAGGGAGAATATGGCTGCCCAGTGTTTGGGTGGAGTGTAGGTGGCAAGTGGAGGAAGAGGGAAGGAAAGGATGGGGAGAGAGAAAAATCTTTGCTGTTTGGGGACCTGACCCCAGGACACACACAGTTGTCCTTTTCGTGGGGCCCAAGAGACTAGGTCACTGCTTTCACAATCACACACTTCAAATAAATCCAGGAGTCCTGGGTGAGAGATACCCCGCCAATCTAGATAAGACTAAATGCCACACCTAACAGGTCCAGGGTCACTCAAACCAAAAAACTTATGGCCATCGAGTTGATTACGACTCATAGCAACCCCATAGGGCAGAGTAGAACTGCCATATGGTTTCCGAGAAGCAGCTGGTGGATTTGAACTGCCGACCTTTTAGACAGCAGCTGAACACTTAACCACTGTACCAACAGGGCTCCCCAGGGTACCCAGGCAGCCTTAAAACAAAAATATACCAGAGGTGTGTCACCAAGCTGTCGTGCCCCTCCTCCCTCCCCATGTCTGCTTTCATTCTCATTCAGCCTGGGACCAAAGGGCATTTGTACCGATTAGGAGAGGGAGGTGAGACAGGAAGGAGATAAGTGAATGGGTCAGCAGGCTTAGCACAGCCAGGAACCTCACATCCACCAAGTGAAAACAGTCTCCTAACAGAGCTCCATCTACCCATACCCACAGACACAAGGATGGAGACGTGTGTTTATACACGCACGCACGCACACACACACACACACACACACACTTCCTACGGCACTCCAGGGGCCCCAGGTAAACAGCCAAGAGGTGGCACTCAGTCAAGAACAACAACAAATGAGGGGAAAAAGGCACAACCTTAGTGAGGCAGTAGGTAAACTGCTTCCTAGTACATTTATTGGAGCCTTGGTTAAGCGAGAATACTGATCAGTAACTCCCTTCCACAGCCCAGCGGGCCCGACTGGAGTAGCGACACAAGGGAGTCAGTCTCCTTTCTTCTTCCATTATAGACAACATTATTAAAAAAAATAAACTTTACAATAATACATTTTCGCTCATCTGTTGGGGTATTATTCCGATAGTTTTCTTAAAAAAAGGAAAGGGGAAACCACACAATATATGTATATGGATGTGTATATACATATATGTTGAGAAAGCAGCCTTGCTATGTACATACAGTTGATGTATGTCTCAGAAATGAGGAAAGAGAAAGTGAAAAAGAGGAGGCAGGAGAAGAGAGAGAACCACTCGAGAGGCCAGACTGCTCCAGGTACACGTCCGGCCGTGGTCTCCTCTGCCACTCTCGGTGGCCCCTCTCCCTGAAGGAGACCCACCAAATGGACCCACTAGCAACCAAAAAAGCCAACAAATTGTCATTTGTCTTTGATTTCAAAATTCTTGCCACCAAGAAAGGAAGAGGCACACTTGAGCAGGTGCCCAAGTTTTGCTACCTCCCCCGCGGGGATATCCCAGGTAAGCACAGCTCCCAAGCCTTGGTGGAACTGCCCCCTCATGCGATGGTCATGGGGAGCCCATGGCCACATCCCTCCACAGGCACCCATGGGGGTCCACACAATGACGCAGACCCACTAGGAGCTGCACTGCCTGGCCTGGGGAGGGCAGAAAGGAGGGTGAAACCAACTCTATCCTTGAAGCCAAGAGGAGGTGCTGAAGGAGCCCACCTGGAACCCCCAATGGCCAATCTCGCAGCCCGGCTGACCGCTCCCCTCTGCCAGCCCCAGCAAGTCCCCAGAGTGGGCAGCTTGAGGAAAGCAGCTGCAACTGTCCTGTCCCAGCCTGCATCGGGCACAGCCACAAGTCCCCTCGGCCACAGGGGTCATATCTTGATCTCTTGCTTCAGAAGGTCCAGACAGGAACCACCAGGAGAAAGTGAGGAGCATTTCCGGACCCTCTAGCCCTCCTCGGTGCTGGGTTTCCCTTGTCTGGGGACCTCGGGTGCCTGCTCTCAGGCTGCCCGCCTGCTTGTCTGTTTGGTTTAGAAAAACTTCTCCAGAGAAGGAACCTGGGAGGAGACAAGTTCAGAGACAAGGTGGAGAAAAATTCTTTTTTTGCAAGGTGTGTGTGAGCGCGTGTGTGCGTGTGTGTGTCTGTGTGTGTTTCCATTTTGTCAGGCGGGTGTTTCCTGTTTGTGAAGCTTCCAGATATCTTCCAACGAGGTTCCCAGGACCTACAACGCCAGTTTCAGCATCAGCAAGGAGAGAGCGGTCAAGGCAGTCGTCGGTCTGGCTCTGCTGGGGCCTGAGTTAGGTTTTATCACCTTGTTACTCCCTGGGATGATGTTTGTAGTCAGCTGGGTCCACAAGAGAAGGGGAGGATGAAAACAAAGAGGACAACAAACCAAAACAAAACAAGTCAGCAGGGCGGGGACCAGAAAAAGAACAGGACTCCCTCAAGCTTCTGCCTTCTCTGTTACCCAGAGAGATTCTCCTTTGCCCTCTCAATGTAGAGTCAGGCTTCCATGGAGCTGGGGCAGACGCAGGAACTAGAGGGCGAATACCATCCCTTCTGGCTCCAAGCCCCAAGGAGGCAGGCCAGCAGACTCCAGGAAAATGGGCTGCTCATCTCGCTCCGCATTAGGGCTGACTCGACCAAATGAGGGAGAGGATCTGAGCCCCACTGAGTGGAGACAGTGGATAAGGATCTCAAGAAGGAGAAGAACCCAGGGTCCACAAGAATCTGCTTCTTGAGAACAGAGAAAAGAGAGAACAGGTTCTCCCTTCTCCTAGCTTTGTTTAAATTCCTCCTCCTCCATGAAGCCTTCCTCGCACATCTCTCTCTGGACCTCTCTCTCCTTCTGTAGAATCTGACAATGCCTTTTCTTCTCATCTAAGTTATTATCTTAGGTCTATAAGTCATATCTGTACTCCTGTACTGGGGGCTCCTTAAAGAGACTGTCTTTTTCCATGTCTGTATCTCCTAAACATCATAGGAACCAGCACAGAGTAGGTGCTCAATAAATATCTTAAACAGTAAGGAAAGCAGGGGAAGGCCTCTGGTCAGAGCAGCCACTCGCATCTCCCCATGGAGACCGCCAAGGCCCAGGTGCAGCCTGCCACCCCCTGCATGCCTTCCCACACCGTGAGTCCCGCCCAGATCCAGGTGGGCCAGAAGCTCAGCTAGGAGCAGCCCTGCAGTGAGATTTGGGGGCTCATAGACTCACCTGGGAAACAGCCCCCTCTGGCCCAGTCTCCTGTACCCCTTCCCTTGCCCCACCACTCTGGCCCTCACTTACCTCTGTGAAGCACATGCTTAACTCTTTGGAGTTATTGGCCTTCAGGCCCTGCTCCTGTGGGAGAGAAGGCACAGTAAGGACTGGTCTCTGGGGTCAGGTCTCTGGCCAGGCTTTGTCCACTGACTCAGATGAGACCAAACATGCTGTGGCCCTGACATCCACCTCTAGCATTTCTAGGCACAGGGTACGAAGTGAACAGTGCTGACTCAGTTCCCATGCAGGCCAATGGGCCGCTGCCCTTTTCTAACACCCTCAGCAATTAGGTTCTGTCTCCTCTGGGCTCCTGGAGCACATAATTGAAGACTCTGCTGTCCATCACATGGCATTCTGTACTAATAAGTTATTCACATGTCTATCTACCTCATTCAGAGCTCCTCAAAAGGCAGGGACCATGCCTTCTTTTCCTTGCACTGAGCAGTGTCCAGCTCACAACAGTAACTGAGTAAACGTTTTACTAGACGCATGCATGCATGTATGAATGAATGCCACAGATCAGAAAAGGCATCAGAGAGCCAGTTCCAGTTAAGTTGTCATGGCTACTGGAGGGCTATATAGAGAAAGATGATGAGCCCTCATCTGGGCTCAGTGGGGAAGAGAGCTGTGATTGATTAGTGATGTCTGCCACAGGGACATGTTAGGTGGACATCTGGCAACCGTGCCAGGTGTTGGCCATTCTTTTCCTAAACAGATGTGCAGCACCTGCGAGCTTTGTAGACAAGGGGAGGAATGAGAAAAGAAAGCTGGCTTGGTGCAATCGTTCTCTGCCCCTGGAATAACCACTTGGATGGAGGGCCAGAGGGTGTGCATGAGAACAGCCCTTTGTTGTTATCATAATAACAGTGATCCATGGGAACTAGCTGGGGGATGCAGTGTTTCTATCGTGGCTTCAAATGGTTTAGTTCCCAAGGCACTTACAGTGAAGCTCTGGCCATGACAACAACTGGAAAGCCCAAGAAATTATGCCTGAATCACTGTGTTTAGCCAGAAATATCAATAATCCCTTGGAAATTATAGGCAATCTACAGCCCAAGTCATCTAGTCAGCTAAACAAGGCCCCAGCTGTCACACAGAGACCCCAGCCAAGAGCACAGTCACCACTGATGGTGGAGATATGACCACAGTGATTAGTGCAGCAGGAGTGGAATCATGAAGATCCTGCTCAAGACCACAGCACCAGTTTCTCCAGGTGACAAGATACGGCCCAACTCACCTATCAACCTGCTTCCCTCTGCAGAAGGGTGTGTGCTATAAGGCCTTAAGGCCCTAAGAACTGGATTCTACTCCCCACGTCCATGCCCATCTTAGAGGCTGCACTACCGTCATCATCTTCAATCTGACTACCCTCCCTTCTCCCCTTCACCAGACCTCACTCAGTCTCAGCTCTCTGCCCTCCTCACAGATCCTGCAAGCTCTGTGCTGTCCTGTGGCCTGCAGGGGTCTGCATCACACAGCCCAGCCCTACTGGCCCCCAGCATCATCTCTTGCTATAATTGTTTCAGGTATGGCAGGTTTGTTACTGCCCCCCCAACTCACCACACTGCTCACTAAATATGGAGCTTTATATATAATCGGAGTCCCTGGGTGGTGCAAATGTTTAATGCACTCAGCTGCTAACTGAAAGGTTGGAGGTGTGAGTCCACCCAAAGCACCTTGGAAGAAAGCCCTGGCCATCTACTTCCAAAAAATCAGCCTCTGAAAATCCTATGGAGCAAATATTCTTGACACATATGGGGTTGCCATGAGTTAGAGTCGACTCGACAGTAACTGCTCATGGTGGTATGTATAATCGCCAAGGCAGCCAGCCAGGGGAGGATTCAAGGTTTGCACCCCCATTTCAAGCAAAGCAGCTCCATTTTTGTTTCATATATTGGAGTTATGCATAAAATTGTTTTTAAAAAAGATTCTATTGCTTTAAAAAAATACAGTTTGAGAAAACAACTAACCTGGATGACCTCTAAGGTCCTGCCTGCAACGACATTCTGTGACTGTCAAGTGACTTCATCTATTGGAGCCTCAGTTTCCTCATCTATGGAGCCCTGGTGGCACAGTGGTTAAGAGCTCAGCTGCTAACCAAAAGGTGGCAGTTCAAATCTACCAGGTGCTCCTTGAAGCCCTATGGGGCAGTTCCACTCTGTCCTATAGGGTCACTATGAGTCAGAATCAACTGGACGGCAATGGAGTTTTGGTTTTATTTTCCTCATCTATAAAACTTCGATGGACAAACTCACCTCACAGACCAACTGTGAAAATTAAATGAGATATTGCATTTAGCATAGCAAAGCTCTATACAAACATAAGGGCTTATTAATTCCACATGGCAGGAAGCAGAGCCACACTTAGTTTGCATCCTATGGCAGGGCCTATGAGAAAAGCTTTGAAGGGACAGGGGAGAAGGCTGCAAACTGAAGTCCAGGTAAGCTGGTGGCCTGCAGGCCAGAAAGTAAGGCTCAGGTGCAGCCTCCTGTGCCCTACCTGCCTCCTGCAGCCAACTACGCAGCAGGTGACAGCTAGGGAAGCTAAGTGCCAGAAATCTCTGCCCCAGGCACCCCTCCACCTGATTTCCAGAAAACACAGCAGACACCTCCCCTGAAGGCAAGCCTGAAGCCCCTAGCCCAGTCCTGCACACACAACATTTGGCCATTTGTTGACCTTGTTTTAAGGTGGAAGTGCAAAGAACTATAGAAATGATCCCTGAAAGCATAGGCTGGGAAGAGAGAAAAAGGTCATTCACATTCACTCCTTCATTCCCAGATCACTGCCTCCTCTCTCCCTCACCCTTAACTCAGGGACTGCCAACTCCCTGCCACCACACACACACACACACACACACACATACACACACACCTCCTCCAGGAGTTTCAAAGATGAGTAAGTCACAGCTCTGTCCTTGGGGGCTCACACATCCACACAAACACATCCACACAATCACATCCACACCAGTCAAATGAATGGAAGGAGGTGAGAAGAGGCACCATCTTTCTCTAAAACCCCTCAGGCTGCAGGCTGTCCTCAGAGACCATGCTCCCCCTTTAAGGCTGCCTTTGACATTGACCTCACCCTGATTTTCTCGGACGCTGATGGAAGCGGTCTAGGGGAACAGAGTGTGGCTTACTCCAGCCCCTGTCCCTGCCCCTACTCTGAGCCTCTCTTCCCTGACGTAAATTCAGGGTCTGTGGATTAACACAATTCCAAAGGCAACAAGCCTTGGCTGCTAGCATGGCAGGAAACAGGGCTTCTAATCAGCAAAGCCCCCTGACTTGGAGGTGGGCCGAGGGACTCTGGAGAGAGCTGGCTGCTTGGGCTGGCCTGCAGGGCACCATCAGAAGCACTAAAAAACCCACTTGTGCAGGTGGCACTGGGAGACGTGAACTGGGAAGGGGCACAGACACGGCAGGACAGTGGCAAAGGAAAGGGTCATCCTTTTAGAAATGTCTCCCAGAGAGGCCCCTGTTCCCAGGAAGTTGGAAAGAAATTGTCTTCCTCCTCTTCCTTGCCCACCTCTGACCCCATCCCACCCTTAAAGCCCAGGCTGGCAGTTCCCAGAGCCTTGCTAGTCTGGCCCAGGTGCTAGGGACTAAGTCTGGGGTTGTATATATGGGAAAACTGATGGCAGGAAATGTCATCTCTCTCCTGTGTCCCTGCTTCTGTTTCCGACCCCACGCCCAAACCTCGAGTCCCCATGGACTCCTCCCACACTTGTGCCACAACAGTCAGTCACCGGGGTCATCCCTTCTGCACTCACTCCAGTAACTCACACCTCTTCCTCCCCTCCCTTCCCAACACCCTAGCTCAATCCCTCATTTCTTATCTTCCACATCTCCTAACAGGTCTCCCTGTCTCTCTCCAGCCTCTCTGCTTTGTCAACCAATCTCCACCTGCTGTCAGATTAATCTTCCTAAATCACAGCTCTGATCATGACACTCCTGCTCAAAAGCCTTCCGTGGCGTCTCAGCATTCACCATGTCAACCTAGTCATCGGGTTTCATTTCCATCCCCTCCCCTTCCCATACATACACTTTGTGTTCCTCTACGTACATACTTGCTGCTCCTCTACGTCAGGTATTGCCAAACTTTTTCTGTAAAGAGCCAGGCAGGAAATCTTTTTAGGCTTTGCTGGTCATACAGTTTCTGTTAAAACTACTCAACTCTGCCTGTAGCACATAGGCAATATGTAAACAATAGGGTGTAGCTGTGTTCCAATAAAACTTTATAGAAACAGACAGCGGGTCAGATTTGGCCAGCAGTCCATAGTGTGCAGACCCCTAGTCAACATGCTCTACAGTCTCCTGATTCCATGCCTTTGCTCTCACTTGGCTCTCTGCTTGCGGCATCCTCACTCACTCCAACCCTAATTCCACATCTCCACATATTCCCGCAGAGACCAGACTTAGTCACTAGCATGTGGGTGAGACCAGCAAGGCTCTGTGAACCGGGAACTGTGGAAGTGGAGTGGGGTCAGAGGTGGGAAAGGAAGAGAAGGAAGGCAGTAATTTCCTTCCATCTCCCTGGGCACAGGGGCCTCTCTGGGAGACATTTTTAAAAGGATGGCCCTAGCCTACTCTCTCATGCCTAGCAACAGGTTTTACCTTGTCCATGAGTCCTTTACTTCCACTCCCAGTCCAAAGCAGTTCCTCCCTTCTGTGGATCCCCATGACACTTTACTGTTCCTCTTGGTGTGCCAATCATTTTTTCCCTCAGAATTACTTGAGCTTGAATGCTGCCTGTCCTACCTGTATGAGGACAGGGTACTCAGCTATTAAGCTTGTTAGCCTCAGTGCCTAGAATATAGTAGCGATGCAATAATAATTTATGTTGAATAAATGAATGAATGCAAGGATGGATGAATAAATGAATGAGAGAGCTAGGGGAAGGAAGGAAAGAAAGAATGCATTCCAAGTTACAAACAATTGTCTCTCAAAGCTTTTAGGAAGCCATATTTGTAAATCAGAAATGTATGCTTGCTAGACATCCCAATGCACCAACTGGCCTTTCAGTTCCCATGCCCTGATGTCCATGGGGTTGTGTACAGGTAAGAGGCTCATCAAGGGATCAGACAGGATGAGGGCGGAGAGGGATAGGCTGCTGAATCTGTTGCAGGCTTATGATGAGAGGGTCTTGTGGAAACCTCTCCTAAGTCATTTTTAACACCCCCAAGACATGACTGGCAGTGTCAAGGGTGAGAGGAGACATTGACTAGTGAGACAAGGAGAGCAAAGTAGAATATGCGTTACCAGGGCTTGCTAGCACCACTGAGTGAGCGCCACAGGAAAGCTGAAATTCAGTTGAATTGTTGGGGCCATGTTGTTGTTGTTTGGTGCCATCGAGTCAGTTCCAATTCATAGACAGCTTATATACAACAGAATGAAACACTGCCCCGTCCTGCGCCATCCTCACAATCGTTGTTGTGCTTAAGCCCATTGTTGCAGCTACTGTGTCAATCCGTCTCGTGATGAGGACCATGCACATTAGCATTCTGAGCCCAAAGGGAATGTCAAGGATGCTGGAAACACTATGCCCAGGAAAAGCACTAACCCCCTGCCAGTGTTCCTCCCCAGCCACACTGCACACCCTAGTCCAGGCCCTGTCATATTACCAAAGAGCCTTCTAACTAATCTTTCTACATCTGTGACAGAAATACTCCTTCACCACGCACACAGAGGACCCAGTAAACATCTGTGGGATGGAGAAAAGCTGAATAAAGAGTTGCCTGAGAGCAATAACACAGACCCTGCTCTAGAACGGAGAGCAGTAGGTTCCAATAAATCAAATGAATTAGGGGCTCTGGATTCCTGCACTCAACTTTTATGGACCACCTACCAAGAGCTATGAATCAGAATGCTCTAATCCGAAACCAATCATGGAGATGACACAAGACCAGACAGCATTTCGTTCCATTGTGCATGGGATCGCCATGAGTCAGGGGGCAACTTGAAGGCAGCTAACCACAACAACACCAAGTGCCAGGCACTGTGCACTTAGTTATACAGGGTCACAAAGAACAGTGAGATGTGACCCTTGTTCTTGAGGGACTCTCGCCTAGTACAGGAGAGTACAGCACATGAGACAAATGCTCCAATGAGGCAAAGTGGCAGCCCAAAGGCAACTTTGCCTAGGAGATCAGGGAAGATCACACCAAAAGTATGATAACATTTGAGTAGGATTCACCAGGCAGAGAGGTAGGTGGGGCGAGGGGCAGGAGGGAGGGGATAAAGAGGCATTTCAGTGAGAGGGACCAACAAATGGAAGGACCCAGCATCCTGCTGACCCCACCCCTGAGGCCCTACAAACAGGACTGCCTTGTGGCTTCAGAAACAAAGGGCCTTGGATGACTTTCCAAGACTGACCTGCCTTCTATAGATTCCCCCACTCCGGGGATCAGTGGGAAGGAGGGAAAAGACAAGGGGATGCACACAAGTATATGGGCCGGGCCAGAAGGCCTGGGAGAGACCGTTCTGCAGATCCTTCCTGGCCGTCTCCAAGTTCCATAGAGCCCTAGGCAGGCATGGCCACTCTAGGAGGGAGCCACAGCCACGAGCGAAAGCATGAGGGCAGAACAAAAAACAGCATCAAAGACACCAGCATAGCCCACCAAGCAGACCCTGACGCAGGGCTACTCAGGGGTGTCCTCAGCTCCTGGCTTCTCTATGGTGCCCACAGATGCCCACATCTCTGCTCAGCAGCCCCACAGTGGGAATGCCCTGCCCTGCCATAGGAAAGTCCTCTGGGGGAGAAGATTGGAAGAGGGGGCAGCGCAGTACAGCCAGAAGAGAATGTCCTGGGAGGCAGGAGGCCTGAGTTCCTGGCCCTGCTCAGCCACCAATTGGTCATGTGGCTGTGGACAAGTTATTGCCCTTGCTAGGTCTCAGGTCCCTAGGGTTTGAGAAGGAGATCTCTAGACACTAGATTCCATACGGAGATTGTGGAGTCTGACTACGAGTCCCAGGCTGGCAGCATCTCTTTGTCAGTGAAGGGGGTCCCTAAAGCTTCCCCAAGGGTCCAAGCAGTATGGATAGGGGCAGGGAGGGAGGACGAAGATAAGTAAAATAATCTTGCCTCTCTCTAGGGGTACCCAGTGTACAGAGCCTTTCCCACCCTCCCTCCCATTTTGGCCTCAGCTTCCTGTCTCTGCCCTCACTTGGGACTCCCTTCTGTAGTCATGAGTTCCCATGGGTTCCCATAATTCCCAAGGGCCCCACAATAGACACCACAGACCCATTCAATCAGAGAAACTCTAAGCTAGCGGAGATGAGGAAGGGGACAAAGCACCCCCACCAGCCTCCAGATGAGCTGAGAGCAGAGACTAGGGCTCACTCACTCTACATTCCTGATGCCTGGCACTAAGCTGGTGCTCATTAAAACGATGCTAATGAAGACACAATCAGGGCTCTTCCCCTTCCATTTCTGTAGGAAAAGAAACTGGGGAGTGACAGTGGGTAGGGCCCTCTTTTGAGGGTCTGTTTCTCTTCCTTTCCTCCTGGGATGGCTGTCCCTGGCTGTCCTGCCCACAGAGACAGTGCCCCAGAGTGACTTGGTTAATAGGCCCAGAATGACCAAGCCTGTGGGAGCCACCTGCTAGGCAGCCTCCTCAACCCCTAGGGGTTAATAAAACCTAATGTTTGTATAGTGGTTTTCAGTTTACAAAGCACTTTCACATACATTATCTCACATACAGATCGTCCAATGTCTCCACTGGAAACGAACCAAAATTAAGACAAGTCCCAAGACAGTAAGTCTGCAGAAAACCAGGCTGGGGCTAAAAAAAACTGAGTGACAGTTTAGCAAACTGCTGAGGGAAAGAAGAAAAAAGATGGGTCTGCAGAGTCACCAGGCACTGAAGGGGGTGGGTGGGGAGGGCAGGCACAAAGCCATGGCTGTGAACTTTTCTGCACCCACGATGAATCACAGTGAGGGCCTTGGGAAAGGGCTAGTAGCTGCTGAGTCAGCATCTCCCCAAGTGAGCCCACCCAGAGGGGCTGAGGGAAGAAGGGTGACATAGGGGAGGCTGCCGGGGCCCGGAAGGATACGTGAGCCACTCTGAGGAGCTGACATGGTCACCGGACGGGTGGCATAGTCCTGACAGGCCGAGCAGCCCACCACTCTAGCATGAAATTGAGCTGGTGATTGTCTGTGGAGCAGGATCCCAGGTTTCATGCTGGCACCTACTTAAGCATGTTCAGTGTAATTAGAAGCTGCCCAAGGGTGACACTGGCATCTCACCCTAAATCAGGAGAGACCAGCTTAATTGAGGGAAGCAGGGCACAGAAAGGCTGCAAGCTTAGGCTTACATGAGGGCACTTGGAGGTCAACTGTTACAGAGCAGGGGACCCCACAAGGGAGGGGAGAGGAAGTGGGAAGAGGGCTTCCCTGACCAGGGCTGGCACCAGCACATGAGCCTACAGTGCAATGGGTGCTCAGGAGGGACCTGAATGCCTCTTTGAGGGCTTGTTTAATTGCTGGCCCTCCACAAGACCATAAGGACGATAAAACCCAGGACTGTGTCTGCCTCATTCACCAATGTATCCCTAGTATCTACAATAACACCCGGCACAGGTAAGGTATGTAACACATGTTGGATGGGTGGGTGAATGGATGGATGGATGGATAGATGGATGAGTGGGTGGGTGCGTGGATAAATGGATGGATGGATGGACAGGGCAGGTGGATGGACAAACAAACAAACACCATGGGCTTTGGAGCCATATGTAGTTTTGAAATCTAAATCTAGCACTAATTAGCTGTGTGACCTTGGGTATGTCACCTAACCTCCCTGGATCAGTTTCCTGTGTGTAAAACAAGAATACTAATACTCACTATTGTGAGGATTAAATGAGATAGGTGGTGAGTCTACTAGCATAGTACCTGGTGATTAGCAGATGGTTAATAACCATCACGTTTCTCTTGTACCCCCCGTATCTAGTATAATACTGTGATAGGCAGGCATTTAACACTTGCAAGATGCAGGCCGAAATTAATACATACACGAAAAACTACCCCCACCAGCTCTCCCATGTCTCTTGGGTCCTTGCTCACTCCCTGGCCTCCAGGTTAGTAGTTTCCCCCACCTACCTCTGGTATGACAGTGCTCCTCTAGGCTCTCAGCCTGCCCCTGCCTCCATTTCACTTGCTGCAGATCCAAGCCTCCTCACCTGGACGGAAGTGCAGGTGGTGATGACACTGGTCCCCAGGCTGGTGCTATCACTGAGGTCATCTGGCAAAGAAGGAATCTTCTCCACCCGAGGGGCCTGGGTGGCCTGGAATGAGGGGTTCTTAGGGGACAGGTTCACATCTGTGCCATTGCCAAAGGCCTGGATGGCATTCCCTGTTGAAGGGAAGAGAGCAAACAGATGCAGAGAAATCAGGGGCCACCTCCACCATGTCTCCTCCTGCTCCCCACTCCAACCACTAGCTTCCCTGTAACAGCCTAGAAACTGGGGACAGAGTATAACACAGCCAAATTTAACTTTGCTGAAGCTCCCTTTCAGGTACCTACCAAGGTCTCACATCTAGAGAAGGAAATAGCAAGAGGAAGGTTGAAAACGACAGAAAAACTAGGATAGAAAGAAATGCACGTGGTAAAGAATGTAGAAAAGGAGGAGAAAAAGAAGAAGATGCAAGGAATGGAAAGCCCAGAAGGGAAGAGCAGGCCATCCCAAGGATGGTGAGAGCCGTCGTCTCAACGGCATCATATGCTGCAGACCACATCCTCCTTCAGGACCTTCCCCAACCCCAGCTCTGTCGGTACAGATTCTGCTGACTCCTTTGCCACCTCAGATGCATCCTGCTGCAGGCTCCCATCCTCTGCTGGCATTCCAACAGCCCCAAATTCAACCCTGCCCTCTTCACATCATACACTTGTGGTGCTCTCACCCACTCCCATGCCCTTAGCACTAATTCACTAAGGACTAAATAATCTGACCACTTGGACAAAACCATCCCCAAGACTCAACCCTATGACCATGTGCCTACAGAAATCTCTACCTCCATGTCCCATACACGCCTCCAACTCATGATGTCTAAAATTAAACTCGGCATCTCTCCCTACCATTTCCAACAGTGCTTCTCCCTCCCCTTGTATTTCCAGTCTTGAAGATGTCATCTCTATCTACCCAAGTCATCCAAGTCAGAAACCTGTAGGTCACCCATGATACCTCACTAACCACTGACTTGCAGTCAATGGAGCCTACTATCCACCCCATCTCTCTTCACCATCCTTCTCCCCACAGCTCTGGCTCACAGTCTTCACTGTCCTGTACCAAAAACAGCTACAACAGCCTCTGACTGGACTCTCTGTGTTGGGTTACTTGTCAGACTCACATCCCCATCCTCCACCCCCTCCACACTACAACCACGGTGAGCTTTCTGAAATAGAGATCTTATCCAAACACCACCTGCTTAAATCCCTCCATTGACCCCTACGCCCCCACCACCGCCACCTGCAGAACATAAAATCCAAACTTCCTCCGGTCTGCAAGGCCCTTCATGAGGACTCACTCTATCTGTCCAGGTAGCTCTCACTATGATCCTCTTCAATGCTATAGCAAGGCTGAATGGTGTGCAGTTCCCTCGATCTACCCTGGTTTTCTGTGGAGCCCTGTACTCTGCTCATGGTGGACTAGACTGCCCTTCCTGCCTCTTCAACTGTTGATCAATGCCCAACTATCCATCAATGGATACTCCTCTGGGAAATGCGCATGCCAGTGCAGAGCCTCCCTCCTCCAGGCTGACCTGGTCATCCCCACCCTGGTTCCTGAGGCACCCTGCACAGACCTCCACTCTAGCACTGCTTGCCCCATACTGTGACTGCTGGCTGGCCTCCTGATGGCTTACCTCAATCAGACTGACAGGGATTGTAACTTATATCTCTGAATCCTCAGTGCCATACAGAAAGGAAGGATAGACAGCTGGGCAGGAAGAAGAAAGGGGGTAAGAAAAGAGGGAAGAGGTCTTCAGCAACGAAGAGGTAGCAATGAATGTCAGACTGGAAAGATCAAAGACAGACACAGCTCGACTGTAGCTAACCTCTCTCTCTCTCTAGACTTTGCATTAGGAGCTTGATGACTTGAAAAGAACATCACCAACTCCAAAGCGAAAGAGATTCCTTAAAGGGAGACGTGAGACACCGTCATGAGAGGGCTGAAGCTCTCACGATTAACAGACCAGAAATCTTCAGCCAGAAACAGAAGATTTTACAGAGGTTTAAGGCCTAGTGGTACACTGAGGCTGGCATAGTGAGAGTTCTGGTGCAAATCTCCAAGAGCACAAAAACCAAGATCCCTGTGGGCAACACATATGGTAGAGAAACCATATATATATATCATATGTATATATCACTGGCCATCCCAATGGAAGAAGAAGGGAATGACTAGGGCTATGACTAGACTTCTAGGGTCTCTCCTGGAGCAGGAGGGGAGTGAGTGGCTTCTGGGGATGGGGAGAACATTCCAGGACTTACGGAGGCATGGGTTCTCAGTGAAGTCCCTGAGGAACTTCTCACACTCCTCCTCCATGTTGCCACTCCCACGACAACTGCACCAGGGGGACACCACAATGCCAGTGGGGTTGGAGTCCACGTAGTTGGGTGTCATGTCAAATCCTGGGCAGGGAGAAAATGGGAGGGAAAGCAGAGAGGAGCAGTCAGTTTTTCCCTTTGGGCCCCCATATACCCTCTGCACCCCAAATACAGTGACATCTCAACTCACAATCCTAACTCTGAGCATTACTATCCCAATGACCATAAAGGGCAGCAGGGGACAGAGGGGACAGAGGCAGAGAGAATGCTGGGTTCCTTATCACTAGGAAGACAGAGAAGATACTCAAGAGCCCTCTTCTAGAGCATGCACCCTTGCTTTCTCCTTTGCTAAAAAGAAGAGAGTGTGTTCTGGAGCCTGGGAGACTTAGGCTCACATCCTGGTTTGGGTCCCAGTGCAAACATTTCCTAGCTATATAAACTGTTATGGCAAGTTATTCAACTTCTCTAAGCCTCATTTTCCTCGTCTATAAAATGGAGATATCAATAAGAGCTGTTGTAAGAATTAAATAAGACAGCCCATGTAAACTGCTTAATGCAGAACCTAGAATGTCACGACCATGCAATAAATGTTAGATTTTGTTATTATTTCAAAAGCCTTCTAAGGCCTCTAGGGCCCTCCTGCCCCTATTATAAAAAGCTGGGATCCTACTCCTCAATAAAGATCTAGCCTATCCTCTGGTTTCCCGTTGGAGTTCTATCTGAATCTGAGGCAGAGCCAAGGGCAAGCTCAGGCTGCCTCCATATGCTGGCCCCAAGCTGGGCCGTGGCTCTGTCCCACTGAGACATAGGCAGCAAAGAGCCACTGTGACCCTAGGCACACAGGGAGAATGCTTACCTATCATGCCAGCGTAGGAGCCCAGACACGCCTGGTAATTGTCCGCAGGGCAGCTGGTGAGTGTCTGGTAGGAGGCTCGACAATTGGCGTGGAAGTCTGCCAGCCGGGACCTGATGTCAGGGAGAAGACCCAAAGCAGAAAACAGAAGTTGAGTCTGGCGGCTTTCCTGCCCTTCTCCACGCATCCAGGGGCACAGTATCTTCCCTCTGCAGCTTCCAAGGGTGACAGGAAGCCAGGAAGGGGAAAGGGAGAGTGGGGGTAACCAAGTCTTGGGAGGACAAGCACCTTGGCTCTCCTACCAAGCCGTGAGCTCTTTAGGGATACAGTGCTAGGCACACTGTGAGGCTTAAGAAATATCCACAGACTGACTGGCGAAAAGGACTCAAAGGCATGGAAACACCTCACTCAAAATGCATCTTTTAGTCAAAAGAACATAAAAAGGATTCAGGGCAGGTTTGCAGAGATACCTGGAAACAAGGCAGGGAAGTGGACTCCACCCTCTGCTTGGTCACACTTCTGGGATGACCTTGCCCAAGTCTTTCAACACATCACTCTTCTCATCAGTAAAATGAGTTTAATAATACCAGCCCCAGCTACCTCATAGGATCCGTCTGAGGGTCAAAGGAACTAGCCCCCAGGAAGGTAAAAGAAGAGTTCCCCTGGTATGAGACATCCCTATGGGCAAGGGGATCCTTCCGGCACCTGTCACCCTTCTGCCATCTTCCCCAATCCCACCCAGGCAGAATTAGTCTTTTCTTCTTAAGAGCCCGTAACACTCTGTCATCCATTCCTCCACATTGATACCTATAATGCTGCCTCATAATGACTTGTTCACAGCTCTGTGCCCCTCACTAGACAATGAGCTGCTTGATGGCAGACAGTGTCAGACTCAGATTTGTCACCCCAGCCCCCAGCACACAGCCTAGACATGGAGGGTTACATGGATCACAGGGCACCCAAGTCTAATACGCATGGCAATCCCTTCTTCCTAGTGCCCCTTGCACACAGACTGTTACCATCAACCTGGGTAGGGGCAGGATGCTACCCCTCTCCACCATGTCAAATAACAATAATAATCACCCCTTATAGGTTAGCGCCCTTTGCCAAGAGTTCCTCATGTATCTCAGCATTTATGTCTAACAGCAGCTTCAAGAAGCAAGTACTAAGATCTTACTCACGGATATTTTCCCAATATTTGGCACATAGTATCACCTCAATAAATATGTGCTCAGTGAGAACTCTATGATAACTCAACGGGCTATCCACAGAGAAGGACCAAAACCCAGGTCATCTGACTCCCTTGCCTGTACTCTTTCCACACCATAAAGATGTCCCAAGAGCATAAAAACCAAGGCCCCTGTAGGCAACACCCATGGTGGAAAAGCCCAAAGTTAACTACAAAGTCAGCTCCCCCTAGTTCTCCACTGGAACTTTGCCTCATTTGAGAAAGCAACAGGTGCAATGTGGTAGTGGTAGTGGTAGTGTCAGACCTCGTCTAACTTCAGGGGAAATGAGAATCACCATCAGGATCAGCCCAAAGCTGATTCCTATGAGGCAGAGGTTAGACATACCTCCACTCTCCAACCTTTACCAATTCTGACACCAGCCGTCCTCCCCACGGCACTCTCTGCTTCTCTGCTGGGTTTGATAATTCATTGCAGTGGCTACACAGAACTCACAGACCATAATCAGTTATATGGTTTATTAGAGAAGTAACATGGGATCAGGATTAATATGTAAGTAACAGGAATAGGATCAATGTCAGGAAGCACATAGGCAAGGTCTGGAAGGATCCTCCAAAGTGAAGGGCACATCCTTCCCTTCTTTAGTGTAGGACAGCTTTCTCTCTCTCTCTCTCTCAGCCATGCACATCCCCTCAGGACAAGCCTCCTCTCCGCCTTTAGGACAGGCCTCCTCTTAGTCCCTGCCCTACACGAGCAAGTGCTACGGCTCTTTTGGCTCCCTGAGAAGTGCCCAGAGGCACCCTACTTCGCCAGAAAGTCTCTTGCCTGAAGGCCCTCAACTCTCTTGCTGTCTGAACTGGCAAGCTCCGTTAGCTCTACCGACAAGTGCCCTGAGGCACCCTACTGCACCAGAAAGCCTCCTGCCTGAAGGGGTTCAGCACTCTTGCTCCGTGGGTCGGCAAGCCCACTGTAGCCACCTCTCTCCGTGAGCTGGGAAGCCCACAGTGACATCTTGCGCCGGTCTCCTGGTTCTGCTGTCGCCATTTCTCTGCCACTGGACTCCACTGCGCTTGCTGCCACTTCTCGCCATCTTGTGCCATCTCCAATGTTACAGCTCTCTCCATCTCCTGGGTCTAGGAGGTTCTCAGTGCAAGGATCCCAGGCCCAAAGGATGCACTCTGCTCCAGGCTCTTCTTCTTACTGGTAATGAGGTCCCCCCGACAAACTCTGTGGAATGGCTACTTATATAGGCAAGTGGCTCAATCATATTGGGAGAATTTTATGCACCCTATTTGTATAGTAGACTGACCAATCCCCTCACTGGACTAAACTGACCAATCCCCTCGAAAGTGGCTCCATCTATTTGCATAATAACTGATATTTTCTGCCAGCAGGGACTGGCTTGTTCCCTGGGCAAAGGTAAAGTTTCTCTAAAAGACTAGGGCAACTGAAACAACTTCTCAGGACCCAGGGAAAAATCTCCCAAACTGTTTTCTTTCTCTCCCTGTTTGATAGAACCAAGGCTAAAGGACTCATTTTGCCAGAGAGAGATAAGCCAAAGATTGAGAGATTGGGAAAGCCTGAGAAAGGAGAGAGAACAAAGGCTTTCCACGGGAAGGAATCTGGTACTTGCTGAGAGAGGAATGCCCACAAAGCAGGCATGAGGGAAGATTCTGGAGTGTACCCCACCAGACTCCTACTTTGTCCCCTCACCATCAGAAAAATTCTGGTTTTCCTGCAGGCCCATGGTCCTAGGGAATGGAGATCTGCAAGAGGGTGGAAGCCCTCTAGAAGGATTCCACCCCAAGGAGGCCTCATGTGTCCCAGGTTCCTTCAGCCTGAGAAAGCAGCAAGGCACAGGAGATGTAAGACCGTGAGCACCAAACTAAGAGTCGGGAGACAGGAGTTCTCAATCCAGCTCTGCCCCTAACTCGCCGGGTGACCTTGGGAGAGTCCCTTGATATTCTGAGATTTAATGTTCTTATTTATAAAATTAATAAAAAATACTCTTTGTTTACAGTTTAAAAGGTACTTTCACATCCGTCTTTTATCACTTAATCCTGACATAGTCTCTGTGAGATCTAATGGGCTGTTGTTATTATTAACCCATTTTTCAGATGAGGAAGCTGAGCCTTAGAGGAGCTAAATGACCTTCCCAAGATCACAGAGCTACTTAGCAGTGAAGCCAGGACTCAAACTCAGGACTTCCAACAACAAAGTAGATGCCCTTCCTGTCAGGTCCCACTGCTTCTAGGCAACAGGTGGGTGTAGAGGACTTTAAAGGTCCTTTCAGAGTCCAACATTCTGAACCTCTGTAAAATTAATTTTGCCTTTCATAGAAAAGAGAAGGAAATCTGCAATTGTGCTCTCCCTTCCTTCACCTCATAAACGCACCCTCTACCTTCTCACCTGTAAGGCCAAAAACAGGGAAAAGCAGCGTTTCCAACCAAGCCTTCACCTCCTGTAGAATAAAACTTGGTCTCGTGTGGCACAAACCAGTGTCTTGCCCACTCTCCAACCCAGCCTCGTGTGTGCAAATGAGAGACAGCAGAAGGACCAAGGACGGGTCATTCGGGAATTAAGAAGGTGCAGTGAAAGCAAGGATGGGGGGGGGACTCTGCCCAATTCCCAGACCTCCAGAGACCTGAGGGGTGGGCTGAGACACTCTAATGAGTAGACGGCATTTAGAGGCACAACAAAACAAAGCAAAAAATCCCTAAACACCTTCAGAACCCTCATTGTTCATTTTGGCCAACTGTCCACCTCCAGAAGGAGCCAAAGGGATACAGTCAGGCCCCAACACTGAGGGAGGCTGCAGATAAGCAGCGTAAAGCCAGAACTGAGCTCCTGCAGAATGTGACGCAAGAAGGCAGAGAGATTATGAGCAAAGCCACGAGTTAGCATCGTCTCCCTCCAAACAGCTTCCAAATACCATCTCTTCGTTGAAAAATAGGAGTCCATTCCAATGCCGTATGATCACATGTACAGCCCTCCTCTCTCTCACGCCTCTCCAAGGCCCACCTTCAGTCCCAGTCCCTCCAGTCCCTTCCCCATGAAGCCCTGTCTAACCACCCTCTCACCACACTGATTTCTCCCATCTCTGTATTCCAGCTACACATACAGTCTGAACCAGGCAATTTAACAACTGCACAGGGACTTCCTGATACTGCCCTGTTTGGTCTCTCCTACTTGAACAGATGTTCCTAGAGTGGAAGACTCTATTTATTTCCTCATTCATATCCTCCACAGTCCCTTTGGAAAGGGATGAGGTGGTAGACACCCATTCATCCATTCCTCAAATATGTACTGAGCCCCTACCATGTGACTGACAGACTAAGGATGGGAATGGCATGCATGCCAATGCAAACCCAGAAAGGAAACCCCAAGGAATAGGGTCAGAGCAGTGTGCCTGCCACCCCAGGGATCATGGCATGAGTGAAAAGCCACTGTTGGTTTGTCTGCCTGAGAAGCACACACCGTCTAGTACAGCAGACTCGAGGGCCTGGGCTCTATCTGCAGGTGTTAGGAGACTCCCAGATGGCTCCAGCCCCAGCTCAGTGCACAGGGCGCCTCGCTTCCCTGCTGCAGGGTTAGTCTCCGATCACTGGACTTGGATCCATGGATCCACACTGGCCTCACCATCCATCAAGCCTCTCTGAATGTCATGGGGCCCCACAGGCTGGAGAAAGGGTGAATGAGGAAAATATGGTTTTCTAATGCAAAGGCCCTTTGGGGATTCCAAAATATTTCCCTAATGACCCACAAAGAGAGGCAAGGCAATCTGGAGGAGAGGGGAGAACAGAGGAAGCAGGTCAGGAAACAGAAGGTGAAAGAGTTCAGAAGCCAGGTGGAGGTGGACGGTAGGATCCTCAGGACTGAGGGGAGGCGAGCAGTGTCCAGCTGCTCACAAGGTCAGCAAGTGTCTG